CTGTGGTTTCTGCCACTGCAAATGCTCATTTCCATAATTATTGTTTAGCATTTGGAGAGCGACTATTTCACACTCGGTATTCTTTGCAGCCAGGAGGGTCTCCCAGTTCATGCAATAAAATTTCCATTTACTCTGGACATCAGCTGAGATGATTTAAAAAAAATCCATAAATTATTTACTGAAATGGCTGTTCAGCTTACGGTAATAATGCATTAGTTCAGCTAGCCATGGAGCCTGTTAAAGGGTAATAAATTTCTTTTATTTTCCTTTTTAAAAGATATCTGCCAGTAACCTACACATGACCTTGCACCGATCAGTTTTCAAAATGACACTGCGGAAGAGCATGCAAGGAGAGAGAATTGGAGAGCTTTTTTCAAATAGCCTGACTTTAGGCAGTTGTTAGCAACTACCTGTCATCTCAGAGCCAGGAGGAGGAAAGAATGAAAACATCTATTGAATGTTTAAAGCATAATGACCTTAAAAATCCTTCCTCCCCCCCCCCTTTTTTTTAGAGAGAGAGAGAGACAGGGAGAGGTAGAGAGAGAAACCTCCATGTGAGAGTGAAACAGCAGACATCCACCACCTGCCTCCTGCACGCCCCCTACAGGGAGCCAGGGAGTCACCATTGTTGAGACCACCTGTCATTTCGCTTGAGCCTGGAGCCTTGTAGAATAAAGGCAGGCCCGTGGTTCAGACTTCATCCTTTAAAATGTTGTGTTTATGGAGCAGGATCGATTTACTGTATCTCGCAAAGTCTACAGTTCTGCTGACAGCCATTTGCTGACTAATGTCTCCAGCAGAGAAGAGCAACAAGCAAGTTTCTGAATTATGGCTGTCTTTGACATATCTTTATCCAACCCATTTTTATTTTTGGAACCTCTGCTTTGATTAAAGCCATTTGAGCCCGGAGCAAATACAATGTGTCTGAGTTTTAAGTGTCGCATTTTATATCAGGAACCCCACTGAAACCTGTTGTTTAATTTTTATACCATGAAGGCAAGCACAATGAACATTAACCTAACCAGTTAAACTAGTTCCTCCTAACTACCTATAAAAGTCCCGAGTCATACTTTTACTTATTTAGATCCTCTACTTTGCTTCAAAAATATTTTAATTTTATCTATATATCCCCTTTTGGTGCAAAAAATCATTTTAAAAGTGATGTGTTGGGGGTTGGGTCCCAGGTTAAGAGTGAACCTAGAAACCGCCAAATCAACTCATTTTTATATTCACTAAATTAAAAAGGATTGCACAGTAAATATACAAGACAGAAGTGCTATTAAGTTAGCTAAAACTGGTAGCAAAGGAGATCCGACAATAATTCTCTGTTGGTTGACCAGAAAGCTGCAGTGGCCCTTGCTTCAAGAAACCGTGGTTGTGTGACTCAGAGTTTGCATTCCTGAAATGGTGTTGTTCCAATTTTTTGATGTGAAACCATCAAATACCTCTGTGTTACTGCATTTCAGGGTAACTTAGTGCTTGAAGGGTGAGATGCTTTGAGTGTCTGTTTAATCTACTCGGAACAGTGTGGTAGGTTTGTCTTCAAACTCCCGGAGTTTTTGGCTTTGCCCTTGACTACACTCCCTGGTAAAGCAGTTTCCTTTCATCTCTCCTCCTCTCCCTACCTTCAGAGATGGGTCTCAATTTCTTTTCATCCGCTTCCTTTCTCTCCTCCAAGCCTGCACTCTACACATATCCGTTCTTGCTGGGCTTTTAGCTTTGCCTTTCTCTCCTCTTCCCGATGTGCCCATGTCGCCCTGTGTGTACTGACCTGGAATAGCCCATAAGTGGGAGCAGTCACGGGCAGATGTTCTTGTACTGGCTTTGCACAGAAGCATAAACGGGGCTGCAGCTAATGACAGAATGTCTTACAAGGGATCATGGCCCCTGTGTATTGGGAGCCAGGTCATACAACATGTACTTTGTATATATAGACACCTCATGCATCAACTCTCTCTTGTTGTCTGTTAGCATAGATCTGTCAAGTACTCTTAGATCAGTAGATAATATTCCACTGACCCCCTTGTGTTTATTCCTAACCACTGATTTACCGAATGGAAGCTCTCAAGCTTTGTTGGGGCCATTAGCATGCCAGACTTTCCATACCTCTCAGGGCTAAAGGAGGCTTTTCTCCATGTTCTTTTCCCCAATAATTAAAAAGAATTTTTTTTTTGTTAATCCTCACTCGAGGATATTTTTCCATTGATTTTGAGAATGGAAGGGAGGGGGAGAGACAGGGAGAGAGCGAGAGAGAGAGAGAGAGAGAGAGAGAGAGAATTATCAGTGTGAGAGACACATCAATTGGTTGCCTCCCACACGAGCCCCGACCGAGGCCATGGATCAAGCCTGCAACTGAGGTACGAGCCCTTGACTGGCATTGAACCTGGGACCCTTCAGTTCAAGGGCTGACACTCTATCCACTGAGCCAAACTGCCTAGGGCTCCCCAAGAATTTTTAAGCACCCCTTTGACATCCTAAATAGATAAATAAAGAAACATTAGCTTGAGAACAAAGTTGTCACTGTAGGCTTTGTATATTCCTGCTCTGGACTGATGCACATTAAGCAGTGGCTTATCTTTGATTTGGGATGTGGAGAGCTGTAGATGTGGGTGTGCATGATAGTCACATATCTATAAAAATCTTGCTGCATGCCTTTTTTTTTGCAGATCACTTTAAATCATTACACAGCGTAGCTGCATTTTAATTTCGGATGGAAGAAGTCCGTGAAGTTTAATGGCCTCTACTAGGCCTGGTTGAGTGATCAGCAAGTCAAATGATTAATTTCCTACTGAACAGAGACAGAGGGGGAGGGGTTCACAGGGAGAACCCCGCAGGGCCTTGGTTCTTGCCCGGAATATCCTGGAGTCCTCCGGGGCCCGAGGCCTGTGTGGCCCAACACATGCAATTTTGCTAGTCAGTGGGCCATGCTCTGAGGAGGGCTGAGTGATGGGATAATTAGAACCAAGCCGACGGCGGGCTGGATGGTATGTCTGCAGCTAATAGCTTGTTTGCTAATTGCCAACACCAGATTTTCTGGGTAATTAGACATTTGGTTTCTTCCAAGACCTTCTGTGCAAACGTGGACACATGGCCGTAGGCCTTCCAGGTAGCAGGTGGGGAGAGGGCGGCTTTAGTGCAGGATGGCATCTCTCCGTTGGCTGCCCCGAGGGCCATGGCAGGGCAGACGTCTCCCCAACAGGTGGACAGGGCCATCTGGCTGGACCCCTGGTGGAGAGGCCAAATCCCCCAGCTTTTATCGCAGCGGATGCCCCTGTGCTGGGAGAGCAGCAAAGAAGGAAGAGACCAGCAGGCTGGTCCAGGAGCCTAGCTTCTGTCCCCATCCTCCTTCCAAGAGCACTGAGCTTTGGGTGCTAATAGGAATCAGACATTGCTCCCCCTCTCAGATGGGCAAGTTGATTTTCTTAAATAAAAAATATTTGTTGTGGTAAAGTAAAAGAAAATATAATAAATGTAAGATGGCTCACGTTCACTCTTGCATGATTCGTGCCATTCCCTCAGCCCATTCGGCACCCACGGCCAGGATGCTGTTTGAGTTCTCACCAAGCAGGAAAAAAGAATCGGCAAGGGCGTGGGACTACCCAGTGGTTGACAGTGGAGGCTGAGGGAGCCGCTCCTGGTCTTGTGAAGCAGACAGGCCCTTCACAGACACCCCCACCCTCTGGGTTTCCTTGAGCACAAGTTTTATTTTAGCAAGTTACCATTTTTTCCTCCCAGGTACTAGGCTGTGTATTGAGTGGAGCTGTATTTGTAGAGCACCCTGGATGGCGCCTGGCATTTGTAGGTGCCCAGAGTCGGGCATCGTCTCTGCAGTGAGAGCCCACAGTCTTGATCTGTGGCCCTGCCAGTCCTGGGCAGCGGGAAGGGACAGCCGTGCGGAGCCTCCGGCACTGACCGGGCACAGTGTGACTTCTCCTGGGTGCTCACTCCTGGGTGAGAGCCCCTGCCTGTGCCCGGTTTCAGGACAGATATCCGCGCCTGAGTAATGGCAGGAGCAGCCGGGCGGTTGGCAGAACGATGTTCATGCAGCTTCGCTGGTGGCGCTTCTCCGGTTTGGCCTCGAATCTGTGGTGGGGCCTGTCTTCGGGGCCCAGGAATGCTAGCCTACCCGTCTTTCCGCTGTGGATTTTCTTACTGAAAGTCAGAACCCTTCAGTGTCACGGAAGAGAGATGAGGTCCCCATAGGCTGGCGGGGTCTCAAGCCAGAGGGAGGCAGGAGACGATGCCTCCACCAGGAAGGAAGTTCTTTCGGGAAGGTGCGCTCGTGGCCTGTATGCCTACGTGAGGGGTTGTTCCTTTTGGGGTAGGGTCCCACAGCCCGCAGGGAACCGGGGGGCTGCGGATACTCTTCCTGGAAAGTGCACATGAACGTTCACACGTCATTTCAGGTGGAGGTTCCTCCCATCCACATGGAGGCTGGTTAGGAGCTGGGTCTGCGGGGGCAGGAGCCAGGACTGGGGCGATCTGGGGACTGGCAGACGCCCTGCTAAGTGGCGGTTGGATGGCACCTACTGAGAGGACTGTGGGTCCCTGGGAGAAAAGGAATGTCTTATTTGGTCAAGTTTTATTTTATTATTTTATTTTTATTTTTTGTTAATCTTCACCCGAGGATATTTTTTCCATTGATTTTTAGAGAGAGTGGAAGGGAGAGGGAGAGACAGAGAGAAACATTGATGTGAGAGAGACATATCAATTGGTTGCCTCCTGCACGTACCCCAACCAGGGCCGGGGAATCTGTAACCAAGGTATGTGCCCTTGACAGGAATCGAACCCGGGACCTTTCAGTCTGTGGGCTGATGCTCTATGCACTGAGCCAAACTGGCTAGGGCCCATTTGGTCAAGTTTTAAATACTAAATGTAAGGGGGTGCTGACACCTGAACTTTGTGGTTGGGGTCAGCCTGGCCACCACGCAGCTTCGCTCCTGCTCGCCGGGCCGGTCCCTACCACCCCTAAGGAGCGTGCTTTGTCTTTCTCTTTCCAGAAACGGCCCCCACGTCTGCATACTCATCTCCTGCCCGGAGTCTCGGGGACACAGGGATCACGCCTCTGTCCCCCTCCCACATCGTGGTAAGACATGTGTACATGTGTGTGGGAGTGTGTGCTCATTATCTTGGCTTTGTGGGTCTGTTCGCAAGAGGAGACAGCTGAGCAGCCTGTCATGTTCCTGGGTGGAGATTAAGTGGTCCTGGTACCAGCCATGTGAGCCCTCCCGAGTCCTTGTCCCACCCTGGGCCTGTGTGGCTGGTGCCGTTGGAGCCAGTGGCCTGGGTGGCAGCATGGGCAAGCAGGTGGGGGCATCCCTGAGGGGACAGGACTCATCAGGGTCATGCGTGGTTATGGCAGGACCCAGCAGGGCCCCTGGCATGTGGAGCCCTGCGCCCAGGCCTGACACACGGAGCAGGTGGAGTGGTCACCTGGGAGGGGCACGGACACAGCTGGTCAAGCCCTCGGGGCAGTGGCTGCGGGTCTGCACGGGGACTTGGGGAGAACAGTGGGAGGAAGGCTGTCACTCAGAACCACTGGGCTCCGGCCCTGGTGGTGGTGTCTATAATAGCCACGCGCATGCACAGTTGATAAAGGGGAGTGGTGGCAAGCTGTGGGCTTGGCCCTTCACTTAGGGGTGCCTCCCCGAGCTGAGGCTGGCCTACCCTCTCCCCAGGGCTTGAGCCAGACAGCGACTGTCCTGGGCAGTGGGTGTACAGCGGGGCAGGGAGGGACCAGTTGGGGCATCTTCCTGAAAGCCAGGCGTGGCGACCCCTCCCCAACACCTTACTCGGTGCCTCTGCAGAACGATGCCGACTCGAGCGTCTCGGAGCAGCAGACGTTTCTCGTGGTGGTGGCCATCGACTTCGGGACCACGTCTAGCGGCTACGCCTACAGCTTCACCAAGGAGCCGGAGTGCATTCACGTGATGAGGCGAGTGCTCGGGTGGGCAGGCGAGTGCTCGGGTGGGCAGGCGCAGGCGCTGGGTCCTGGACTCTGGCCCAGCTCGGCCCAAACTCACTGTGCCACTCGGGGCAGCCACTCTGGTCTCTGGGCTGCAGGGTCGTGGTCCGTGACAGTGTTGGTTTATTCTGACTAGTTGGTCTGGGAAGGGCATGGCTGGTGCGTTTGAAACCTGTCCCGGTGACTCCGGCGTGCAGCCTGGGGGGTGGAATGCCCACTTACAGGTGTCCGGGGTGGGCACTTACTGTGGGAGCTTAGGCAATTGCTAAACTTTCTAACCCTCAGTTCCCTCATCTGTGAAATGGGGAGACTGACCGTACCTGCCTCGCAGGGTGTACGTGCAGATGAAGTGAGACTTCCTGTCAGTGTAAGCGGGGAGGTGCCAGCTCTTCCAGGTGCGGAAGTGTCACGGGTGACGTGACCAGCGCAGAAAGCACCATGCCTGAGAGGAAGCAGAGCGGGGAATGGCAGCCAAGCGAGGGGTCACCTGAAGTTGCCCTGAGTCTCCTGGGGCGCGCTCTCAGGACACTCCCTGTGTCCACCCTGTGCTCACAGCGGCCGGCACACTCTGGTGCCCACCGTGTCCACACGTGACGGGCTGTCTGTGAAGATTCTGGCCTGTCCGGCACCAAGGCCTGTTCCCCTGGTCTGGGCCGGGCCTTCCCGCAGTCTTCAGCCCCGAAGCTTTGGGACCCAGGGACTGATCACCCCAATTTTCCAAAGCCAATATGGCTCTGAAGATACATTGTGATTGGCCATTCCCTTCGCTGGTAGTTGTGGAATTTAGTTATCGCTTCGGGGTAAGGTTTTAGGCATTTTTTTAAAGTGCGGTTGACAAGACAAGTTGGAATAAAAGTAACCCCCACCCGGTTTGGGTTAGGCCCCGCCTTTCCTCTGGAAAAGCAGCTGTGACTCAGCTAAGGGACCCGCACTAGAGGCTCCGGAGACCCGTGGTGTCACCTCATCTCTAGGTGACCCCGAGGCAGCACGGCCTGTTGAGCCAGGATCCTGCCTCCGATTGGCCAGACAGGCGTAGGGTCTCCCTGCTCCGCCGTCTCCGAGACGGAAGCCCCGAGTGGAAAGAGCACGTGTTAAAAGCTGGAATCAGTGCTGGTCAGTGTCTCCGCAGTTGTCTTAAGAAATGCTATTTCCAGGAGGTGGTCATGCAATGAAAGTGGGAGAAAGAGCAGACATCACTGAACTTGCTGGGGAGGAATCTCCTAAAACACGGGCCGTGTCCAGGGCCTGAGAGATGTCATCTTAGTTGTAGGATTTGGAAGGAGGTTCCTCCTGAATTTTGCTTCAATCAGAACATAGGACATACTCGCGGGACAGACGGACGGAGCTGTGAAGGAGAAGGTTCACTTATTGTATTTCAGTGGGAACGAAGGAATACACAGGGAGGGGAGAGCTCGGGCGGTCGTTTCTGACACGAGTGTCCTGATGACAGTAATGGGAAGCCCTTTGTGAAAGGTGGTGTGTGGGTGCTCCCCTGGCCAGTGCCCTGTGCCCAGTGTCAGCCCAGGATGGTGATCAGCCCTGTGTCTCGGGGGTCACCATGAGGACTTAGCTCCTTGGGTAGGGCCTGCTCCCCGCTGGAGCTTGACTGGGAAACCGCCAGGCACAAGCCCACTCCCCTCTGGGCGGCAAATGCAGGTGGGGGCTGGCTCTCCATCTGGACGTGATGGCCCACCGGGGCTTAGTGATGCAGTTGGGGAGCAGATGTGAACTCAGCCAGGAGTGCAGCCACCTCCCCAGGTGGCCAGGGCGCGAGGTGCTTTCCCTCCTGTACGCTGTCTCCACGTTCACCCGGACTCCCCGCTCCCTGCAGCCTCCCTGTCCAGGCTCCTGGTTTTTGTAAAGGGCACCTTCCCCTCCAGCGCCCACACTTGCAACCTCACCTCGGGGACGCCTTGGCTCCTGCTCACCACTGTGTCCATTCAGCTCGGTGCTCCCTCTAGCCCAGTGGTTCTCAACCTTCTGACCCTTTAAATACAGTCCCTCATGTTGTGACCCAACCATAAAATTATTTTCGTTGCTGCTTCATAACTGTCATGTTGCTACTGTTATGAATCGTCATGTAAATATCTGATATGCAGGATGGTCTTAGGCGACCCCTGTGAAAGGGTCGTTCGACCGCCAAAGGGGTCGCGACCCACAAGTTGAGAACCGCTGCCCTAGACCATCCATTCCCCCCCCATCCTCCCCGCTCTCTCTTCCTTGGCTTTCCACCTCTGCTCCCAGGGGAGGCCTGAGCTGCCTCCTCAGCCTCCCGGCTTCCAGCCTCCCTCCTTTCGTCTGGCTGGCTCGGTCAGCAGCAGCACTGACCCTGACATGCCCCCCAAAGCTGGGGTGTCTAACACCTTCTGTGGCTCCCGTCACTCACTATGGAATCTCTCCTCAGTTCCCTTCAGCTTGGGCCCCACCTCCTTCCTGAAGCCGTTTCTGACACTCCCCATGGGTACAGTCACCCTTCTCACTTACCCTTCTGTTCCCCAGCCCACGCGCGCCCACGCCAGCCACCTCTGAGCAGCCCGCGCGTCCTTTCCTCCTCCGAGGTCCAGCTGCCTGTCGCCCCTCCGACTTTCTCCTGAGCCCACAGCCTCCCTCCTCCACCCGCTCCCGCTGGCCCCTCTGCCTTCTCTGACCCTGGGGCCCTTCCCTGGGACTTGGGAAGGAGGTGCCACAACCTCTGCCTTTCCTTGGTGGCAGGCGGTGGGAAGGAGGTGACCCTGGGGTGTCCAACCAGAAGACCCCCACCACCATCTTGCTGACCCCCGAGAGGAAGTTCCACAGCTTCGGGTACGCTGCCAGGGACTTCTACCACGACCTGGACCCCAACGAGGCCAAGCAGTGGCTGTACCTGGAGAAGTTCAAGATGAAGCTGCACACGACGGGGGTAAGCGGGCCTCCCCCGGCCCCAGGTCCTCCGCATCGGAGAGCCGGGGTCCCTCCGGTCTTGCGGGTGGGGGCGCTTTCCAGCCCAGGGACTCTGGGGTTCCTCCCAGGCAGACATTCACGTCCATTGACCTTGATTTTAGAAATGACCTGAGCACCCAGTGCGTTCGTGGAACACACAGCACTTTCTGATGGACACGTGGGCGGGGAGATGTTGAGACTATTTAATGGCTTGTTTGCCTGGGAAACTGACCAATCAGAGTGGATGCTGAGAGGAGCATGGGCCTAGGGCAGTGATGGCGAACCTTCTGAGCTCGGCGTGTCAGCATTTTGAAAAATCCTAACTTAATTCTGGTGCCGTGTCACATACAGACATTTTTTGATATTTACAACCATAGTAAAACAAAGACTTATATTTTTGATATTTATTTTCTATATTTACATGCCATTTAACAAAGAAAAATCAACCAAAAAAATGAGTTCGCGTGTCACCTCTGACATGCGTGTTACCTGACACATGTGTCATAGGGTTGCCATCACTGGCCTAGGGAGCTGGGGACCCAATGATAGGAGGCCCCCTTCAGTTGCTGGATTACTGGGAGGTTAGGGGATCCTGAAGGAGGGACGTGGGGACGGGGCCTTTGGGGGGATGAGGGCAGTGTAGCCATTCTGGAAGTAACGAGTGGCCCCTTAACCCTTTGCATGGGGGAGGGGGCAGCTCAGGAAATCAAGTGCCCAGCAGCTGGCAGGGCTGCTCCCGACACACTGTCCAGGTCAATGACGGCCTCCCCCTCAAGCTGCACGGAAAAGGCTGGGCCAGAGGAGAGAACTGTTTCCGTGTAAACACGTTATTCCATAGAGATTCAGGATGGCGATGGTGTGTAAGGCCAGGACTCTAGGGCAGGCAGCCTGGGTTTAAGTCCTGCCTCGGCCCCTTCCAGATGCTTAATCCCAGTCCCCGGCCTCTCTGTGCCTTGCTTTACCTTATCCGTGCAATGGACACCCTGACAGTGCCTTCGCCATGGGGGTTTTGTAAGGAGAAGAGGAATCAGAACACACAGAGCTCTAGAGCCATCTGGTCCTTCTAAGTCCCAGTCAGTTGCTAGCTCCTCCGATTGCCTTCATTCGTCGCTGTTATGTGTTTGCAGATGACAGAACAGGTACTAATGGGAAACCCAGCCCCCAGCACCCTACTTCCCAGGGCTCAGTGCTCATGGGGTGATGGTCTCTCTACGAAGCAGACAGGCTCCTGCTAGAGACACAGCCTCCCTTTTCGGCTGAGGGGATTCAGTGCTTGCGCCTCAGCTTGCGCAGGTGGACACACAGGAATTTTTAAACTTCTGAGCCTGTGGCTTCCAGGTGTCGGCCATGTTTCTGGGACGGGGAGCTAGCGGGATCGATCCGGAGGCCCCGCTGACTCCCCAGCAGTAATGAGCCTGGTGGTTCCAGATGCTCAGGGGCTCTCTCTGCCCACCCCCACTCGGGGGGATGTTTCTCCTCATTGTTGAATGACCCCAGTCCATACAGCATCCGCAGAGCAGCCTCCCCCCCGAGGACTGCACTCACACCTGCTCCGTTCCTGGCGGGGAAGCGAGGCGCGATGCTGGGCTCCCAGTGGATCAGGCTGCAGAGCCTTAAAATAGGAGCTCTTCTATTTTGGGGACTTGGTTGGCAGCTCACTGGGGAACGAACGCTTCATGTCTGTTCAGCATCGGGCATGTCAGTGAGTTGGCATGATTATGTAGGCCTCCGTGCGGGCTCTGAGGGTGACCATGTGTGTCCTGAGTGCAAATAACATGTAAATTGCACCAGCAGTGCCTGCTGCCTTTCTCTCTTCCTGGGCTGTGGCTGCCCTGAAACCTCGCTCCCAGCGGATCCGGGAGGGAGGGAGGGGAGGGAGGAGGGAGAAGCGGAGGTGGGGCTGAGGGGAGCAGCCAGGGCCGCCTGCACAGTGCAAGGACATTGCTCCAGGCCTGTTTTGGGGAACTCGCATCCTGGGCTGCCTCTCACACATTGGGAAACACAAATATGGCCACCAACCTCGTTCCCCTCCCCCCTCCGCCCTCCCCCCGTCCCCTGCAGCTGCAGGCAGCTGTCCAGAAGCTGGAAGGCTGTCTCTCCTTGTCTTCTTCTTTAATCCACCAAAAAAAATATATTTTATTGATTTTTTTACAGAGAGGAAGGGAGAGAGATAGAGAGTTAGAAACATCAATGAGAGAGAAACATCGATCAACCGCCTCCTACACATCTCCCACCCTCCCACCGGGGGTGTGCCCACAACCCAGGTACATGCCCTTGACTGGAATCGACCCTGGGACCTTTCAGTCCACAGGCCGACGCTCTATCCACTGAGCCAAACTGGTTTCAGCTCTCTCCTTGTCTTCTTACTGTCTCCTTCCTCTCCCTGCCAGGACCTCACCTTGGATACAGACCTGACAGCAGCCAACGGCAAGAAGATCAAAGCCCTAGAAATCTTTGCTTATGCCCTGCAGTACTTTAAGGAGCAGGCGCTGAAGGTAGGACACGTGGAGGTGCCTGTGGTGGGGGTGGCGGTGGGGCACCCGCCACCGAGGTTGTGCCTGGAGGGAGAAAGCAGGATGCGCCCTCCTAACTGCAGGGGGGACTGGAAAATGGCACAGCCGCCGGGAAAACGCTGTGGCCCCTTGAACCAGGCGGTCGAGCTTTGATTCCCGGCCTGGCACATGCCTGGTTTTCGGGCTTGATCCCCCATAGGAGACATCATCGATGTTTCTGTCTCTCCCTCTCCCTTCTTCCTTCTGAAATCAATATATATTTTTAAAAAAGAAATTCCATGAAGAAATCTGCTCAAGGAGATTTACAGGAGCGAGGCCTTCGCAAGGGGCGGCCTGGCATTTGGGGGGCGGGTGGCGTGTGTGGTGGTCTCGGTCACGAAGGAAGCGAGCGCAAGTGCAGGACAAGGGAGACGTTCGTTAATGTCAGGATCCCCCCCTCCCAGCTGTCCTCCAGCCGCTGGTGGAGGCCGATCTAAGCCACTTCCCCTGCAGCCAGGGAGGCCATCATTCAGGTCCGACTCTTCCTGCTCAGAGTCTGAAATGGCCTGGGTGGCAGCTCAGAATCCTTCCCAACACTCACACGCTCACCTGCTTTAATGCCCAGGGCAGACCCGCAAGGAAATAACACATGATTAAAAAACAACAACAAAAAACCAGAAACAAAACCCCCAAATCGGCTATTTCACGGTGGCCCAAAGCGGGGAAAAAGAAAAAGTTTGCTGAATACACTTAACACTGCCGAACTATACACTTAAAAATAATAAATTTTGTCACAATTAAAAATGAAAAAAAAAAAAAGAAGCTTACAGATCATAGAGGAGGTTAGTTCAGTGAGAGGGTGGGTCAGTCCCCAGATAACCATTTGAAACAATAGGGAAAGTGTGACATCCACCAGGAAAAACAAAAATCACCAGCCGGTTCCTCTGAGCCACGTTCACGACGCCGACTCTGGTGCAGAAGTGCCCTGGTGTGCGTTTCGCTTTGATTTCAGGTCTGTCTGGTGACCGTGGCTACAGGAGGGGAGAGGAAGGAAGGAAGCAGCATTTATCAGAGGTCTTTTCCGTGCCAGATGTCCCACGTGTGTTCTCATTTAATTTTGCCGCTTTTGCCGGGGGTTAGTTTTATTCTCCCCATTTTACAGTTGGAAATACTGAGTCGGCACTATGCTAGAGACATACTTTTGTCTACGCAGGACCGGTGGAAACCTCTGAGGCTTCTGCCCATCCCCTTTACCCACATGGTGTAACCTTGACCCAGAGCTAAGGACAGCATGGTTCTCGCTTAGGCCATTTACATCCTTCCTGTCCCACCAGGAAAATCCCCTCACGTGCTGGGCTGGAGGGGAGGAAGATGACAGTGACGACTCTTGACAGTTGCCACCAGACACTGTTCTAGATATGAGACCACGTGTTGCAATTTAGTGAAGACATTGGCCTTTAGAGTCAAGATAGGCCTGGGGCTGAGTCCAGATTTTGGCTCTGCCCCCTTCTAGCCGTGTAGTCATCAGAAAGACAGCATATCGAGCCTGAGTGTGCCACCTGCAGGAAAGGGGCACAGTTATAATCTCTCCCTAACAGCATTCTTGGAGGGATTACTGCAGAGGAGGTATAACAGTGTTGATGCAGGGTAAACTCTCAGTAAATGTAGCCACGACCGCCTGACCTGCCGCCCTTTCCTTGGTTGTAGGAGCTGAGCGACCAGGCGGGTTCGGAGTTCGAGAACTCTGATGTCAGATGGGTCATCACGGTGCCTGCCATCTGGAAGCAGCCCGCCAAGCAGTTCATGAGGCAAGCTGCCTACCAGGTGAGCGCGGGGCGGGAGTGAACGGGGCCCAGGTGCCCATGGTGGTGACTGGCACCCCCTCGGGTGTCCAGCGTGCGTAGGCCTCCTTGGGAGGCAGCCGGGTCTCCCGCAGGCAGGGGGACCAGGAGTCTTCCCGTTCCTCAGCTGCCTCCCGGGGGAGGAACGGGCTCAGACTGGCAGGGGAGGGGCATTGTGCGTTTCCTGGTCCTGTTGCCACGTGGGGTCCCTGGGCTAAGATTTCAAACTGGGGCTCGGAGGCACGTCACTTACTCGAGGCTTTCAAGGACAAGCCTTGGAAAGCAAGGAGATTTGGATGAGAAAGGAGTAAAGACAAGGCCCATGGTATGAACCGGGCACCCTCTTGGTGCCAGGAAAGCTGTGCAGGTGCAGCCAGGACCTACAGGTCTATTTCCCTCTGCCCGCCTCACCTGTGAACTCACAGGAGCACGCATGGTCGCCCCAGAGGGGTGAGGGCTGTCGCACCTGCCTGGTGGCAGACACCCGGATGAGGGCAGGGCATGGCTAAGGAGCATGCCAGTCAACACAGTGCCATGGAGACGGCATTCCAGGGCCGATGGCCAGCCCATCCCTTGGGGGCGCCTAGCCCCCTCCATGCTCCCCCCCCTTCCGCTGGTGCCTCAAACCCTCCCAGCCTCCAGCCCTCATGCGGTTGCAGACAACTGTGCCAGGACAGGGCTTCCATGAGAGCCTGACGTCCTGGCAAGAAAGGCTGGTCCTGCCGACCTGTGTCCTAATCCGAGGGCAGAGCTGGCTCCTGCGTGCTTACTGCCTCCCCTGGGCCATGAAAGCCACCCTGGGGCTCGGCCAACTCTGTGCCCTGGACGTCAGTCTCCATAGCCACCTGCCCGAGCCGGGCGGGGAATGCCGCCAGGGATATAGGTGTCCTTGCCCTCCGCCAGGGGACTTAACCCCGACGCTGAGTTTGTGGCCACAGGGACGAACCTTTCCTGTCTGACACCCACCGCATCCACCCTGAGCGCAGCAGGATA